TATGTATTCAACTCTTCGTCGCACAGCATCACCTACCCACCCCGTTTTAGTCGCATTTCACATCAGGATTGTATTATTTATTTTTATTACCCAACCGTTAATGATCAAGGCTCGTAATTTCATGCATTTGATGCTAGACGATAAAAAAAACTTCTTTCGAGGTACCGCGATTGAACATGAGAAGTTTTGCATTTCACATGTTTTCGGATATTTAGAGGTTTTCCGCCTACTTGGCCTATTTATGCATATCTCTATTTTGTCGAAAATATTATTTATGATTTTGATATTCCTGTTTATATAATTGTATTGATGTGCATTTTTTATGAAAATACTGAGAGTGAACAAATTAAATTTGATGAAGAGAGAGAAAATTCAATCGTTTATAATATTTCGTTACATAACGTTTTGGGAATCCGGTAGCAAAATAAGATGATTAAAAATAAAATGCTAATAGTCATTATTTCATTCAGTTTATCAGTGTTTTGGTTACGTATTAGACAACATAAAACGATAAAAAATAAAATGACAGTAGTCATTAATTGATTTGTTTATCAGTATTTCGGTTACACAATAAAAAAATGGTAAATGTGTATAAAATTAAAAATAAAAATTATCATAAAACGAATCTTTCGGATACTCGTACTTTAACAGTTTTAACGATTGATTCATGGAATTTCGAGAAAGATATATAAAGATATATATATCTGTTAAATGTACGATCAAGTGATAAAACTAAAACGTTTTGTGCCAGGTAGATGTAGGCTGGGGGATGCGAGGTGAATAGTTTTAGCACGTGCGCCTAAGTTGTTGTTCTGAGTGTTGTGAAAACGTTTTTTACCTTGCAACCACGTCGACGTTATCCAAAACCTATTTCAACTCTAATAAGACCTTCCGTACACTACGCGATTCACTGGCGACGTGATATTTATACTCGCCTGACTATCGTATCGTGCGAATTGCAGCCGGTTTGAAATTGAAAACGGATTTAAACGAAAATCATCAAAACAAGTCACCGCGGTTGACATTGTACTGAACATCGTTTCGTGTTGGCGGACACGCAAATCACGAAAATCGTTCGAATCGCGCGTGTATCACACATACGATGCCTCTTAACCGCGTGGCGTGTGAACTACGTAGTGTGCGAAGGGCCTCCTCGGTCGTCAGTAAAACGTTTGGAAATATTTCTACTCACGCGGTAAACATTGTTGTACATATATTTACGCGAGGCCCTCGGGCGAGTGCCCTGTCCACGGGACGGCGTTGGCTAGTACGATAGAATTATATACGATCAATGCAGTAATAAATAAACAAACGATTCATCACGAACGTGATCGCGTCACGCCCATTGACAACCGGTAGCGCAACTCTGCCGTCGACGATGCCAGTTAACTCAGCACTGGAAACGATTATTTTGTCGATTTCCGAGGGTACGGTGCGGTTAATAGCTGCGCGTGTCCAACGCAATCGATTATTATAATAATTTAATTATATATTAATAATTTGTTCGTGATAAAATACCCAATCCGGTACGGAGGAAGTGAAATAAAAACGTTGTACGCGGCTCCACAAGTAGCACGTGTTCGCGGTGCGCATCGCGCGCGATTTTCCGTCGCTCGGTCAACGACAACGCTCGCACGTCCATACGTTTCCCGATGAAGCAGTGACGCAGAAACAGAGGGTTTAGGGGGCTCAATCTACTTGCCTAACACTTTATTTAGCTTAATACTTAAATTTTAAAATAGCGTTAGTTGTTTTAATTTTTATCACATTCACATATTAATTATAGATATGAATTAGCAAGTAAGCCAAGAAAAATACAAATGTTGTTACAAGTGAAATAAATTTAATGAATTAATTTTTTCCAACCACGAGCCCGCCCATAAAAATTTCCTGACAACGCCACTGCGATGTAGTTCTCGTTTCCCCGCACCCGACGGTTGCACTCGCCGCCAGTTTCTCCATTACGGCATCGAGTACACATATCGTTGGTGATGAACGGAATTCGTCTAGGTCCTGCAGAAAGATCAGGATTACAGTGGCTCTACGATACCGAGTCATTGGTAAGACCAAGAACCGGACCAGGACCCACGCCACAATAGTCTTGCGATTGTAGTTTTTTTTTTTTTAAAAAAAACAAATGTTTCCGAAATAAACACGTTTAACGTATAGGTTAAATGAAAATGTAATATCGCTATACATTTGACAAGAGGAAAAAAAATAAATGGACATAACATTTACTTGTAAAATGGTTTCGTAACGAATAACACAATCGCGGAAACGTAATGATTTTTAAACCGACGAATACGACACAGATGCTGATGCGCGAGCATGAAAACGTATTACAATAATAACGCACCAAAGTCACAGACACGGTATATTTATAAACTGGAGTATTTATTTAGGTTTGCAAACACGTCCCTCCGTCGAACACTAATAACAGGATTCGATTACGGTCGGTACTTAGGAGTGGGGAGGAAGTATTATTATGTATTGTACGTATTTATTTACATATGCCGTTCGCGTGATACTGTGAAATGGTGTACTGTACAATTGGGAGATGGTACACGAAGCGTAGCAGGTAAACGTTTATGTGTGTAGGTTCCAACACGAATAAAATATATACCGGCACGTAAGTTTCTATACGAAAAAAAAAAAAATACCGGTACGTAAATTCCTAACGAACAAAAGTACAGCGATGTGTAATATGTAATTGGGGATGCTGTTTCCGTCTGGGTCAAGCTTGGTACCGTAAAATTCAAGGCTTAGGTTTAGCACAAGAATTCAATAACGCAAATGATAACCTAGGAAAGTGGCTGGTGCATCTATTCTGTATTTGTTAAGATTTTTGGCCATTGTTTTGTTAATAGTTTCATGGCTGTAAAAACGGATAATAAAATAAACCCATTCCGCTACTATTTAGTGACAAATTACATACAAGAAAATAGTACGTCATCCCTCTAGTATTTGAGCTATTGCTAGTTCTTGTAGAAGTCTTACAACAAATGCTCTTGTGTGAAAGTTTTCACTCGGAATTCAACTCGATTTCATCATCCTAATATATTAAAAATAATAGGAGTCTAAAAATGTTTCGAAAACATATATTTAAAATAAGAACATCAAATATCAATGGACCTCAATACGTTCAATATCCGGTCAACGGTTTTTTTCCGGTTAGAAGGAAAGGGTTTGCGTCGCAGCCGGAATACTGTAGTTTAACTTCGTCCGGTCCGTGTCGGGTCGACCTCCAAGCAAATCAACTTTTGAATTTTTTTTTTCAAAGTCTGTAGCTTTACACGTGCTTAGTCGACGGTCGCACTAGATCCGGTTCGGCTGAATATTTTTCGTATACTTCCTATTTATATTTTAGTATTCGTCTATGATTGAAAAATCGTATTTTACACGTTTACGGATCGAATATTTTTACATCAATAAACGAGATAATGAAAATGAATTTTTTTTTTTTTTTAATTGTAGCTTACGATCGAGATACATTTTTCTCTTTCTCTCCCTTTATGGTCCGCGAAACATTTTATCCAGTACACCGAGTACACACCGATTTGCAGATCGTATTCGACACGTCGCCAAAACGTACTACGAGGAAAACGTGTGCACATATTAGCTGCTCTCGCAATACACAGTCGACGAGAAGAATAGAAAATGTTTGTACTCCGTGTACGTTACGTGCGAAAGAATAAAAGGCTAGTTAAAATATCAACACGCTCTCGTTTATGTATATAATTATGCATAATACATACATACATACATACATACATACATACATACATACATACATATATATGCATATGCCATATATTAAACCAATTACAATATTCTAAACAAATCATTTAATATAATCACTTAAACAAAAAAAAAAAAACATTTGGTTTTCGACGTCAAATAAATAATAATATCATAGTAGGTTATGTACATACAATTTGCATACAGTAATAAATAAACAATAAACGAAAAAAAAAGTATTTGTAATATATATATATATATATTATATATATTTATATAAATAAATGAACAAAAGGAAATATGTATATTATATAGATACAGCGACAGTAGATTATGTAATTTATACGCAAGACGACGAGGCATTGCGAATAAAAATTTATATATAAAGACATATATATAGATAGGAATTAATGGAAATAAAACTTTGTGAGTGTGAACGGTGTGTAGTGTACGTACGTGGTAAATATTATTGATTTTACGACCGTAGTCGAAGTTTCGATTTCCGACATTTTGATGATCACTCGGCAAAAAATAAAGAAAAATGCGCTAATAATAATTATAATAATTTATAATAATGATAATAATGACGAGTGATCATCAAAAATCCGATGGATAATTTCGTCGGACCGCGAAACCGAAAACGATCGGTGGTATCGTGAAATTTCACTAAACCTAAACTAAAATTCGACGTTTCAACAATAGTAAATAATAATAATAATAATGATAATAATAATAATAATAATAATAATAATAATAATAATAGTAATAATAATTAATATTAATAATAAAGATACACCATTTTTTTTTCTTAGTTAGAGTGATGATAATATTTATTTTTATAAACCAAACGCACAGTCATAATACATATTAAACTTAATTTTACGTAGGTATTTCCTAAATTTACATAGGTCACTTAAATACACTGTTATTAAACTCTAATCCATATAAGAACTCTACAATATAATAATGAGGAACATTAGTGAGCGTAACCGCAATTTTAATTAAAACGTATCATACATTTTTTTTTTCTTATTTTCAAACAATTTTTGGGTGAATTCATACTGGGATATTTATTTTTTTTAGGGATGCTTTTTAATCTAAATCAAATGATAATAATAATCATAATAATAATAATAATAATAATAATAATAAAATAAATGTAATTATAAAATAATAAATAACAGACTAGTCAAACATAAACCGAATTTACAGCGTTATTTTTAGTTCAAAATAACAGAACAAAAGAAAAAGAAACGACATGATAACAATTAAAAAAAAAAAAAAAATTACACGACTGGATGCCGCGTGTTTTCTATCTAAACTTCAGAAATTTTGTACTTATTTTTACGACGAAAAAGTATTTACACGAGCAAAAAATGTTTCAATAATATCAAACGGGATTTTAATATTATACAATATCCGACGTGATAGACACGTTATACTCTATATACAAAATAATTGGGAATGTTCTTCGAGATTATTGTGGATCATTTATTATATCATTATTATTCATCCTTCGCACAATCACGTGTCCCATCTGATTTATGTGTTTATACGTCACACATAAAACATTCGGAAAGTAATAATTATAAAATATATAAAATAAACAATAATTATCGTACGTGAAGTGAATTCTAAATTGCAGTCTTCAGGGGTGGAACTTTTGTCGTTCTTATGTGGGAATGTGTGTTTTCATTTAAACGGAATCGGCGTGGAAAAAAATTGAACGAAAAAAAATCGCTAGCTGTACAATGTTCGGCGACCGCGGAGATCGCTCGGAAAATAATATACGTATACGTGTGGAATGGAACGTTTTTTTTTTTTTTTTTTTTTTTCGAGCGAATAATGCCCGTATTTTTTGTCTCGACCGGGGAAGCCATAATATAAACAGATGAAAGAAGATTAAAAAATAAAAATAAAACTTTGTATTGACACCAGACCTAAGTGGGTTGGGGTGATGGCGGCGGCATAGTATATTCATATACATATATGTGAGGGGCACGAGGTGCCACGAACATAATACATATATGATATATAATATGAAATATAGAAACGGTAACTTTATAAAAAAAAATAAAAATAAAAATAAAATAACATAAAAAACTGTTTGAATAAAATAATATATACTGTTATACTATCGTTATATATTACGTTTTCGAGATCTATTCGTATTCGATATTGTTTTACGCGTAACACACACACGCAAACGCGCATACATACTTATGAATATGTACTGCAATAAGTTGTTGCTTCGGATAAACTCTCAGCGGTAATATATATATTTGCATACGCCCTCAGTACGTGCTTTGCACCGGGAGGGGGCTGAAACCCCTCCAGGGGAAGAGTCATGTGTTGTCCTTGGACACGGACCCGCTGTAGGACTCGTCGTCGACCATGGACGGTATCATGTAGCCACCGTCCAGCTTCATGCCGGACGATTCCAGCTTGGTACCGTCCTCCATCTTGATGTACTGGTTGCCCTCCAGCTTGATGTTCTGGTTGACCACGCACTTGCGCATGTGCTTCTCCAGCGTGGACGGCACCGAGAACGGCATCTCGCAGAACCGGCAACGGTACACGTCCTTGCCCAGCCGACCGTGGGTCTTCATGTGCCTGGTCAACTTGGAGCTCTGGGCGCACGCGTACGAGCACAGCTCGCACTTGTACGGTTTCTCGCCGGTGTGCGACCGCCGATGCACGGTCAGGTTGCTGCAGTTCTTGAACACCTTGCCGCAGAACTCGCACGTGTCGTTGCGCCGCGACTCCTTCTTCGCGTGTCCCTGCAGGCCCAGGTTCAGCGCCACCGAGAGCGAACTGGGACCCGGTTTAGAACGACCGCCACCACCGCCGGACTCACCACCGCCACCGCCTCCGGAGGGCTTCAAACGGTCGGAGCCGGCCCCGGGCAGTCCGCCCAGAAACGATTCGCCACGGTGGTGAGCGGCTATCGCGGGCAGCCACATGCCCGCGGCATACAACCGGTCGCGGGTCAGCAGCGGGTGATGGGGGTTCTCGGCATCCAGCTTCAACCGTTTTGCCGATGGGTCGAACGGGTTGTCGAACGCCGAACCGGGGCCGAAGATGTTAGGATGCGCGCCCACCAGGTCCAACGGATTTTGGCCGGCCGCGATCAGGTTCTTGGTGAGCTCCTCGCGAAACCGCAGGTCGGCCATCGATTTGTCGCTTAGCCCATTCTCCAGGTTGCGCAACGGGTTCGCCGACTTGGCCGACCCGTTGTTGTTATCCGGGATGATTGGCGACGGCAACCGGAAGTTGTCCTTCCGGCGGATCCGGAATTGCGGCGGCAGGATCGACGACGACTCCTTCAGCGCCTGTTTGTACGCCTCGCTGTACTGCTGGATGTTGCTCAAACCGAACTTGCTCATGAGTTCGCCCACCAAAGAGCTGGGCGGCGGCAGCAACCGGTCGCCGGGCGCGTTCTCCGCCGGCGACGTGCGATCAGAGTTTCCCGACTTCTTGTCGTGTTGTTCCGCGGACGACGTAGACTTAGTGGTCAAGTCTTCCGGCACGTCGCCGCCCTCGTTCTCGTCGTCATTGTCCTCGTCCTCTAGTTCCATGTCCTCTTCCTCATCGTCCTCGTCCCCGTCACCGTCGTCGTCCTCTTCATCGTCGTCCTCCTCCTCCTCCTCCTCCTCCTCCATTTCCGCGTCGTCATCGTCCAACTCGGAATCGTCCTCGTCGTCTTCATTGGATGTTAAGTCCGGTGTCGAGCTCGTATCCACCACCCCATTGGCGGCAGTCCCACGCTCGCCACCGGCCAGCCCGTTTCCCCGGTTCGACCGGCGGTGCGTTTTCATGTGTCGTTTCAACTTCGAGCTCTGTGTGCACGCATGGTCGCACACGGAACACTTGTACGGTTTCTCGCCCGTGTGCGTGCGCCTGTGCACGATCAAATTGCTCAGGAACCGAAACTTTTTTCCGCAGTACTCGCACTCCCGGGTCTTTTCCTCTTCGGCGCCGATGTGCTGCTGCTGCTGCTGCTGTTGTTGACCGCTCATGTCGTTCGGTTTGTCCTTGGATGACGCGTTGGATGACGACAAGTCCAACGTGTTCCTGGACGCGTCGCCGCCGACCCTGTCGTGCTCGGACGACTCGACCGAGTTGTTGTTGCTCACGTTGCTGTTGTTGTTATTGTTGTTGTTCAAACCGGCGATGACCGCCGCGGCCGCGGTGTTCGGCTGCGTCGGGACGGCGGCCGTTACTGCGGAGGAGTTGTTGGGGCTGCTGAAAGGTGGTGTCATTTTTCGCGGCGAAGGCGACGAACTTGGTGCAGTAGCAGCCCCGGGACTAGTGGTACCTGCGAGTTGCCGCAATCGCTGCGAGTAAAAATCCATCTGTGGATCGAGATTCAGGGCCGGTAACGTTGGCGCTGGGTGTCTGGGGTTGTTCCGGTCGTTGGCCGCCGCGGCGGCGGCCAGCCCGGGAAACGGGGACGTCGGCATGGCGTTGGCCGCGGCCACGGCCACGGCGAACCCCAACCCATGCTGCTGCTGGTTGATGCGGAACTGCTCAGACATGAGCTGCTCCATGCGGAATTGGTGGTCCTGATGACTAGACGACCGGCCAAACAGCGGCGGGTTGCCGATGGTTGAAGTCCCGGCGAACGGGGACGGACGCTGGGGAGGCTCGCCCATCGGCATCCTAAGCAAGCCTCCAACTCCAAAAGGGTTGTGCAGCGGCATGGACATGGGCGGCGGGTCGACCATCGGCGGCCCGCTACTGGTCGGCGGCGGCGGCGGTGGCGGTGGCGGCGGGTGCAGGTTCAATCTGGAGGGCATGCTCAGGGCCAAGGGCAGCGCCGACATGCCCGGCAACGAGGCGTTGCTCGAGCACCCGGACGAGCCCAGCGACGAGCACGACGAGTTATTTTTGGACTGCGACACCGGCGACGGGGTGCCGTCCGTGTAGATTTTCAACGAGTGCGCGGTCTGCGCGTGCTGCAACAGCTTCCAGGACGAGTTGAACCTGGCTTTGCACGTGCAGCACACGAAACTGCTGGGCTCTGCGAACAAAAACAATAGGAATTCGATTAGAGAACCATAATAGACGACGACGGTGTTTTTCTATTGGTCAATTGCGGGCGCGCGCGCGCGCTCGCGTACAAACACAAACAGGCCACAACAACAATATACTCGTCTGTACTCGGGTCCGGTGTGTGTGTGGTGTTCATTAAAAAAAAAAAAAAAAAGAAACCCATACTGCGCGCAGCCGTCGAGCATATTTCAATTGATTTAAAATAATAGAACAAAAGAGACGGTGTTTTTAATTTTTTTTTTTCTTTTTATTTATTATATTTTCGTAATCAAGCTGGACGACGTTGTTGTTTCTCGTATTCTTTCAGAGTTCGTACGCGCGCGCGCACACAATTATTCCTTAAACTCAGCGGCGCAAACAAAATATGATTGACTTGAGAATGGATTGCGCGCGAACGATCGGACTCCCGGACGACGACGGGACGGGAAGAGGGGTGACGCGGCAAGTAACGGCCGTTTTCCGGCGGCCACGACGACGCCACCGATGTGGCGTTGTTACGACAAAAAAGGGTCATGACGTACCCGCGCGCGCGCGCGTGTGCGCGCCCGTGCAGCTGACCGAATTTTTGCGGGAGAACAACAACTGTGCGTTATTGCACAAGATTTTTGGTGAGTTTTTGTTATTCAGAAATCTATATTGTGTTTCGTACCGAAATATCGTATGTACGACGAAGCACTGTAATAATATACACATGTACTTGTTGTAAACCCAATACTGGTGTAAGGGGACGGTAAAAATTTCATTAAAAAATATTAAAAAAAAAAAAAAAAAAAAACAGTAGAGGAAACACATTCGCACCCTATACATATTATACGTGTAAAAAGTATATTTTTTTAAATGACCCGGAGGGATACGCGTAACGTGACCGCCTACGCCGTCACCCCGCGCGCCCATTTCCCTACCGACCCCTATATGATTGTAAAGTTTTTTTTTTTTTTTTCTTTGGAAAAAGATGTTGGTGCAAAAATATAAAAAAAAAAAAAAAATAGGGCATTCGGTGGCGGCTGCAGCGGCGTTGGTGGTGCAAATGAACGCGCGTGTGATGGTAACGCGCGTGCCGGATGGCGCGCGGTTATGACCGGACCCGAGAGGATATTATTGAAAAAACTGTAAAATCGACTATGGAAATACGTGTGACGGCGTTTCCGCAGCGCGGGCTGGACCGTGCGCGTGACGTGAATGCAAACCGAAGAAAACGAAAATGAAGCGAAATAACGTATAATAACAACCGACGAAAAGCAGTGAATGCAGATGCGAAATCTCGGCCTATACGTAACATCCTTTCGAGCGCGAGCGCGAGTAGCCGGTACTGCAATGTTTGTAAAACAACGATAAATAATAATTGTCGTCGACTGCGATCGGTCATCGATCGGTCAGTGTCCGTCGCCCGCTAGAATGATAGTACAATACGAGTGCGCGATCGTTTCCCGTTCGCACCGGATAAACGCGCAGAAAGTTTCGCGTTGTACGCATCGTACACAGTCCGCGCGAGCGAACATAAAAATAAACGTTTGTTATTTTCTATTATTTGTTTGTCGGTCGGTTATTTTTTTCCCCTCTCCGTCCGTCTAAGGGGGCACACGAGAACAAAGTTTCTCTAAATAATGAAAAGTCGAACCCGGCACGTTTCTCCGTGATGCACGATAATGGTTTACCGAGTTGGGATGGGGCGTGAGGGGTCTGGGTTATTTCATTTTTTTTTTTTTTCAAATGCAAATTCTCACTATTGCGTACACTACGACTACCATACACACGTATATAATACGGTTTTTTTTTTTTTTTTTTTACTCATCCTCATCCGCCACCACACTAGACGCACGCGCACGGGTTAAGTGCGGACGTAGTGGGACTTGCCATGTGTGTCGCCTAATATCTATGCGCATTCATCATCGCGCCGGCCACAAGTGGACCACCGCCACCGTGGTCTTCCGGCTCTCGTTCTCGTTCACAATACACGTTCTTCTCTCCCATTATACCCGAGTTATAAGGAGATAACGGCGGCGGCGGCGGGCACAAAAGAAAAGGACGGCCCGGGCGCAAGGAGGAACAATGAGCGTACGTGGGTTATCTCGTCGTCGTCGTCGACCCTCTTAAGCTTTTTAAGGTTTTAAAAAATAAAAACGAGCTTTATGGACAATCTGTGTTAGCCGTCATCTGGGTCGACCGCGGCGGCGGTAAGATCCGAGTGGGAGGGGGGCCGTAAATTTACGTTTTTATCGGGTCCTGTTTTGCATGCGGGCGACCCTTACGCGCTACCCCCTCTTCACAAAAACTTTCCTTCCCCTCCCCGGTAGTGAGAGACAGAGAAAGAGAGAAAACTCTCTTAGTCGCGAGAAAGGGGTGCTGCAGTGATCGAGTGCGTTTCCTTTAGCGGCATGACCTATCGACACGACTGCGCAGCTACTACGACGACTACTACTACTGCATCATTACAACGCAATATACTTTTACCGCTTTCGACGCACGCACATCACGATGTCGTCCCGACGATGTTTTGTATTGTAATTTAATTTATAGTGCTTTTTTTTTTTTTTTGTTTGTCGACATTTTGAGTGCGCACACCACTACAGATATAATAATTATGTACTGCTGTTTACGGTGATGTATCGCAATGAATCATCGGTGATCGCAACGATCAGCCGACACGAATGGCCGGCGTGATGCGTCCACGTGATGCGGGAAGGCGATAATAGCGAATCGACGAGTGGTCCGACCATACAGACGACCCGTGGCCGACACGGTGAAGGTGTGCTCATTAGAATAAAAGAAGGAATAATAATAATAATAATAATAATAGCTGCCGCCGACCTTATGCAGACTGCCCGAACACCAGCTCTCGATGCTGTACACGGCGGCACCCCCGACGGGCACGCGCGCACGTCGAATTACCTGTATCGCGGGTGTCCGTATACACGTACCACCCTGTTTATCCCCGTAACACGCTCGTCCACGTAAGCATATTTAATAATAGTAAATGTGAGCGCGCGCAACCCTTTTTATTTTTCGGAAATTGGGGTGTGTACGCGCGTACGCCGCCGCACAGCTGTGACGGACACCAGGCTTTAATAATATTCATTTTTCCTCTGTACTATAAATAAGCCATATATATATATATATATGCGTACGATCGTAATACATTCTATTACAATATCGAATACACCGAGTGCCCGGTATACGCGGCGCGCGATCCGCATCTGCTGCTGCTGCTGTCGTCGGTGCTCTCCGCCGGAGAGATCTGTTTTTCCGCGTCCAACCCTTTCTGCGATATTACTACATTGTTGGTCCGAGTCGACTACCACCCCCACACCAACTCATACCCCGGTCCAGCGTCACGGTTACCGCGCGGCGAACATTTTCCCCGTCCCGTTCTCATGACTTTTCGACACATTTCAATAACGCATTATTGCACGTTATTTGTTCAGTCGAGTGGCCCACATAATCGTTTCGTCGCGGACACCGCGTGCGCTACAAAGTCGAGTTTTGACCTTCTCCGTTGCATCGCGCGCGAAAATGCAACGCGTCGACGTGTCGCCGACGAGTCGATTACCGCAGTACGAACGGGTAACCGCCGACGCCGCGTTCAAAGAAATCAATTAGCGGAGTCGATAACGTGAAATGTACACGAACGAATCAACAAACGAATTAACGAGCCGTGCGCGGCGCAATTATATATTTTAACAGCTACTTGTATACATATAAATGTGTGTGTACTGTTTCACGGACGATAATTTTTTTCCTCATTATTTTTTTACCCCCACCCGTACTACCACACTGATTGTACGCAACGATTTCGTTCGGTTTATTATTATTATTATTATTATTTTTTTTTTTAATTTCCATACACGCGTTTTTCATTTAAATTATATTATAATTAATAAACAAAAACGGTATTGAATTCCGCGTCCCGTGAAACGTGTGGAACTTAATAAGTAGGTTTACACAGGACGAGAATACATCGAATTCTGACGAGAAACTATTGATCGTGTATCTTAAGCGAATCGTGCTTCGGGGTGGAGGGGGGAAAGTAAAATAATCGTTCAAATATCTATTAATACGCTTAATGGCTGGTTTATTTTACTTTATTTTTCCAAACAGTCGCCGCGCGCTAAGGCGATTATAAAGTATCAAAATAGGAAGGTCTGTTTCATTCGGTGAAAAGAAGTTTTTCCGTTAACAACCATCAACGTCGGAATGTAAATTTTATTTTCGTCACCCACTCAGTGGACACCTGTTTCGCTAATTTTGCAATATCTCCGCCCGACACAAAACCATTTCGTTTTCATATGCATTCGGACTTTCAACCGACAACAAGCGCATATAATATTTACATAGTACACTCCACGGTAGAAGTACAAAAATTATTAACTTTTTCATCGTCGAGGAACGAAGTACGTGGCCACGGAGTACGGACAAAACAAATGCGTCGGAAACAAAAAGACCGAACGCAGCGGGGGAAGGGCAGAGGAGAGTGTTTAAAAAATATGAGTATAGCCGTGCATGATAAATCCGGTTTTCGTTTGATGTGCCTCGGGAAACAATACGAAACGATTATAGGGAAAAAAAAAAAAAAAAAAAAAGACTCCGCGGACAAAAGGAACGCGCGCTGCAACGATGATGACGGGTGTGGACAATGCGCGTGCCCCGAAAATTATGTAAATCATTTGCGGACGCGTGTACGTCGTTGCGCGATAACGTTTTGTATTAAAAAAAAAAAAAAAAATCCCCAAGAAGAAGAATACTTTATTTATTTAAAGTCACTAACGTTATTAGTATACCTATTCCATTATTGCGTTACAATAATATATCAATGGGATCGAGTTGAAGGATGCGAAACCCAGTGAGTTGTTTCGTTTCTTTCACACGTTCCCCGATCGAACGCGCATATTTGGCAAGCGCATTTTTTCACGACGACGTCCGGTCGTGGGTGTGCCGGTGTTCGTATATTATTCAAATATTATTCGTTTGCTCACGATGATAACGACGACGACGACGACGACGAGATAAATGCACGCAGACGGGTCAGGCGGTCGTGTACAATGCGTGCACGTACGACACGGCTAATACTCTCAACGCTGACCGTGACTGTGCACGGGATAGAGACGCGTACTGCCACGGTGTCCGCCCACCACTCGAGCGGAGACCGCAACTGCTGTACAGGTATACATTATCGTTTATATTGTATTGTAATTATCATTTTTGTTATTATTTTCGTGTCGCACATCGGCACACTACGAGGAGGCGTGTCTTCGTCCCGCGTTTTTGATAGTTATTTGATGTTTAAACGCACTGGTATACATTTTTTTTTAATTTTATATTTTTACCATCTTAACGAGTCGCGTCCGTTTCGCACGACGACGACGACGGTGAACGTAACAATCGTTACTAAACATTGCCCTTTCCGCCGCGCGCGTTGGTATTGCACGGCCGTCGTGACCGGTCGCCGGACATTGGACGACGGGAACACAACGACATTGATCTTTTTCACGCCGATCCGGAGCGAGGACGAAGCGAACACGGCGTGCGTATCTCTGTTGGTTACTCGAAGAAAACGATAACGGCATGCCGGTCAAGCGGGAAAGATGGAAAAATAAGAGAGGTACGATCCGGGAAAACGGCGACCGAAGTACTACACAGCTAACCTATTGTACACGGTGGTCGCAGCGTCCCTGACACGGTTTGGTGACCATATACACACCGGCGTAAAGGGAAAACGCGGTGCGACGAACGATGCGAGTGACGAAACGATGCGCGCAACCGTGTGTACGCCGCCGCCGCCGCCACCTCATAGTCCTCCTCCTGGTAAGTGTACGCGCCGCCGCGTCCTTCGGGCGTCGTGACCCGCAGTGTCGTGGGAAGCCCGCGGGCCGTAACGTTTTCACATATTATTATTTTAATATAATATCGTACAAATATATATATATAAACACACACGTCGTCGGCATCACGTCTCCGGCTCGTTCCAGCGTTATATCGCCTCCGTTTGACAGATGCACACACACGCGCGCGCGCGCGCGCGAAACGACCGTCATCTCTTTCTCCCGGAGGGTCAAACACACTACATGTTATTATTACGTATTATCATTACGCGTGTATCGCCCGATCGCGGCTGAACCGACGTGGTCGCGTCGAGCGCGCATATGCCGGTGTTGGATTTCCGTACAACACTGATTGGCACGCGGTGGTGGCAATAATTACGCACGACGGGTGCGATAAAAATAGAGTATAATAATCGCTCGGGCGGCGGCGGTGTTCACGGTCCGATAAACACACTTGTGCGCGCGTGCGGGGGGGGGGGGGGGG